TTTCTATTATGAGCTTTTTGGAATGGTCTTGAATCACATTGCTGTCACTGTATACAAAGTTTTCCTGGTTCAGCTCACTTCACTGCATCAGTTCATATAAGTCTCTCCAGGTTTTTCTGAAATCTGCCTACTTCCTGCTAATTCTTCCCAACTTTTCTATTATTATTGAGGCTACCACCATTCTTCCAGTCACCCAGGCATATAACTTAGCTGTCATTCTCAGCTCCTCACTCTTTCTTTTACTCTCTCATATCTAGTCTATTGCTAAGAGCCACTGATTTTAGCACTATCATATCTTTCTCATGTGCCTTCTTCTCTGCTTTGACATTGCCACCATCCTGCGGAAGGCCCTTATCAGCTGATGCTTGGACTATAGCAATACCCTGCTGGTTGGGCTCCTTGCTACAACTCTGTTCCCACTCCAATCTGTGATCCACTCATCTGTCAGTTACCTTCCTGAAGCTCAGGTATGACCATGTCATACACACACACACACAACTCGATAAACTCCAGTGGCTCTCTATCACCTCCATGATCAAATATAATCCTCTGTTTGGCATTCGAAGCCCTTTTTAACCTGTCCCCTACATATATACACACTTTGCCAAATTTCTTATACCTCACACCTCGCCAAATTCTCCGCAATACTGGGGCAGTGACCTTCTTGCTAGTGTTCCTTGAATAAGTCAGCCCATATCAAGACTCCAGATATTTTTACTGGCTGCTCCACTTGCTTGGAATTGTCTCTTCTCATCTCCACCTCCTGACTTCCTTGACTTCCCTTAAGTCCAACTAAAATCCCACTTTCTCCAGGGAACCTTTCCAGATCCACCTCAATCCTAGGGTCTTCCCTTTCTTGATTATTTCCAATTTACTTTGTATATAGCTTGTTTGTACACAGTTGTTTTCCTGTTGTCTCCCTCATTAGACTGTAAGTTCCTTGAGAGCAAGGATTGTCTTTTGCCTTTCTTTGTATTTCCAGTGTTTAGTATGGTACCCGACACATAGTGAGCGCTTAATAAATGATTATCAAATAAATTTCTCAATGTTTGTTTTAAACTTTCATGTTCATTTATGTGTTTGTCAAATAAATGTTTTTGCAACTGTGTCAAGAAAGAGAAACTGTTAGTGGATGCAAAGGACTAGACATGGTGTATTTGTCAGATAGCTGCAAGATGGTAAAGCATAAGAGAATACACTATTTTATCATCAATTAAAAGAACATATAATTGGGGGAGATATGTTTTAACCTAATTAATTCATAATAATGAATTTGAAAGAAAACAAATCAAAAAGTCCTCTTGTGAAATTTACACAGATGGAGCAAAATCAGTGACTGGGAATATTGAGGGTGTTGTTTGGCATGTTAAAAGAATTAACATGAAATGGACACACTGCAACGTACATAACCATGTTTCAGCATCAAAGAGAATGCCACAACTTAAAAATGTATTAGATAATGCTATTAAAATTTATAAAATCAAGACTAATTCTTAATCATTTACCATTTTATTCAGACAGATGCATATTAAGTTTAATACACTTCACACAGAACTGTTAGATGGTTTTCCTGTAGAAAAGTTATTACTCATCAATTTGAATTGAGAAAAGAGTTAGTTGCAATCTTTACTAATCATCCTTTTCACTTGAGGGAGTATATGAAGCATCAAATGGCATGATATAGATACAAAGATAAGCATATTTAATAGATACTGCTTCAAAAATGAATGGACTCTATAGATCATTACAGGTTAAGAATACAAATATATTCGATGTTCAAGATAAAGTAAAAAGTATAATTGAGAAACTAAAATTTTGGAACCACAAAATTGAGAACAATACTAAGTATTTTCTGACATTACATAATTTCTCTTTTTTTTGTAATTTTTAAAATTTATTTTAAACTTAAATACAAAACAAGAAAAGAAAAAAACATTGCCATGTACACAGTAGAATGTAAGAGGATTGAGTATAAAACAATAAATTTCTATTTCAAGAAATCCTATATAATAAATATTACACATTGTTTTCAAAGCTGTCCAGCTTTTCTTTGCTTCCTTGTAAGTTTTCTTTTGTTCTCTGCTGTGCACTTTTTACTTTATTTTTACCCTCTCCCCACAGAGAAGGCTACATACAATTAAGTTCAGGTATACACATACACACACACACACACACACACACATGCACATATAAGTATGAATGTATATATGTATATATGTGTGTGTTTATAGATATTGATGCATAGATATTATATGCATATCTATGTATGCACATATCTATACATCGATATCTATAAACACACACATATATACTATATATAGGACCATACTATGCTGATTTCCACTTCTTATCTGTTTCTCTGAAGGTGGATAGCATTTTCCTTCATAAGTCCAAGTGTTTCCATGTTTTTCTAAATTAACTAGCTCATCATTTCTTACACCACAGCAATATTCCAATCTAATCACATTCTATCTGAGAGATTGTCTATGAAAGTTTTTTTCAGTTTTCTGTATCCCTTCTATTCTTGGCTATATAAGTTTTATATATACAAGAATAATTTGATTTAAAATAATCAAAATTATCCATTTTATACTTCAATAAAGCTGTCACCTTATAATATAGTTTAAGTCTGATACTACGGGAATCTGCTTCCTTTACATCTTTTTTCCCCTGGTTTCTTTGAAGTCCCTGACCTTTGATTCTTCCAAATGAACTTTGTTATTATTTTTTCTAACTCAGTAAGATAATTTTTTAGTAATTTAATTGGGATGGCATTACATAAATAGATTAGTTAGGTTAAATTGTCATTTTTTAAAAATTATATTAGCTTTATCTACCCATGAACAATAAATATTACTTCAATTATTTAGATCTGACTTTATTTGTATAAAAAGTGTTTTTAGTTTATGTTCATACAGTTCTTGTGTCTGTTTTGGCAGGTATACTCTCAGGTATTTTTTACTGTCTAGTTATTTTAAATGGTCTAAAATAATATTGAATAATATGGCTGACACATAGTGTAATTTCCCTATTTTTCTCTTTTCATTAAATCTATTTTAGCTTTAACTTCATCTGAGATCATGATTACTACCCCTACTTTTTTTACATAACAAATTCTACTCCTGGCCTTTATTTTATGTTTCTGTGTATCTCTCACTTTTATATCCTTTCCTAAAAGCAACATATTGTTGGATTTAGATTTTTAATCTATTGGTTTCCATTTTATGGGTAATTTCATCCCATTAACATTCTAAGCTATAATTACTTGTACATTTTCCTCCTTCCTAGTTTTCCTCACTACCCATCCACCATATTCCTATCCTTCCTCACTCTTCCGCTTTACCTGCAACCTTGCCCTCCTGTTCCTTAACCTACTCACCCCTCCAAGAGACCTTCCCTTATCCTCTCACCCCACCCTATCCCCTTGCCCCCTTATTTCTTTCTGAGTTTAGAAGACTTTTATACCCTTCTAGATATGTAGGTTGTTCCCTCTTTAATTCATTCCTGATGAGAGGAATATTTCAGCACTACCCACCCTCCCCCTTACTAGCTTCTTCTGTATCAGTTTTTCCTTTTTTGCCTCATTTGTATAAGATAGTTGCTCCTTTTTAATCTCTCCCTACACCATTTTTTAGAATCACCCCATCATACTCAGCTCAGCCCAAGCCTTTAGTCATAAAAGTACTGATAACATTTTCATATACAAGAAGTAAACAATTTGACCTTATTGAGTCCCTTATAATTGGTCCTTAATGTTTATTTTTAAATTATATAATCTAAATTTTAATTTTGAGCTTTTGAGGACAAAAGTTATCATTTTAGATATTATAAGTAGTAATAATATTAAATTACCTTAGAGATTCATAGTATACTGTTGTTGAAAGAAGGTCAAAAAACAAAGAAGTTGGAACCACTGGTCCTTTGATTTGGACTCAAAGACCTGAATTCAAGTTACCTGTGTGACTTTGGAGTGATTTCATTTCTCTAGGTTTCATTTTCCTCCCATGTAAATGGCTTCTAAGGTCTCTTCAGCTCTAAATCAAAGACAATTATATAAATTTCCTCTCAGTAAAAAAAAAAAAATTACTTACTATGGCCTCTACTACTATCTGGTATTGCCTCTAACAACCTGAGCTTCTTACAGTCTGCCTACCATAATTAATGCTTTAACCAAGATTTCCTCACACTGATTTTTCAAAGGCTTTAAAATAACATTTAAAAAGAAACTTTAAGTTTTATTTTTTAATGATAGAAAAATACAGTGGTTTCATCACATGGATACTGTGATAGACAAAGCATTTGTTTGGTTTTTGGAATGACAACCCAGAGGTGATCATTCGTGAAAGTCACTGTGGTTATTTCAAAAAGAAAAAAAATTTTCTTTGAAAGCTACATGATTTTTTCTTTTCTTAGAAGAATAGGACACAGTGACAAAGGTGAAAGATGACAAGAGTGTTATCTAGATAAATGTCACAAATTCCATGAAATCATTGTTGAAACAGGAAGAAGTTTATTAACAAACTGAGAAGGCCAGGTGTCCCACACATGTGAGAGCACCTGTATTGACAAATGCACACATTTTTATTCCCTATTCCCCATTCGAATTTCCTTCCTGTTTCCCCATTCTCTGGGTATTATGGAGGTTACAGGTTATCTCAAGCATTTAATTTTCCCATATGAGTCTCCACCCCTAATTACATCTCCCACTCCCCACATTTCAGGGACCCTGGCCCTTTCTTGGGAACATGTTAATTGAACTGATTTTCCAACTGTTATTTTGTTCACCACCAAGAGTGTTTTATTATTCTAATATAACTCCCTTCGTTTAACTTCCACCTAGCCCTCAGACTGCATTCCTATCCACTGCACTTTTGTGGAAATAATAATTTTTTTAAAAATTATTTCTCACATTCCCTTCCAGTTTTAAACTGACTCCAACCTCTGTTTGAGTGATATGCAGAAGCAACATCCATATATTCCACAAAGAGGATAACCTGAGTATTCTAATGTCCAAATGTCACGAGAAAAGAAGGCCTCAAATATGCAGGCTGGAGACTCCTTATGGTGAACTCAAGGAAGAACAAGAGGGAAGCAGGGTGGGCAGGTGTAGACAGGCATCAACTTCCTCACTGGAAGTCAGACACTCCTATATCCATAAGATCACAGATTCATCTGAATATCTGAGTACAGGAATAATGAATGAGGAAAATGTTTAATTTCTATCCAGACTTCAATAGGATGAAAACTTTGAGGTCACAGGATATGCTGTGCCCTACTTCTCAGTAGAGTCTTTTCTTTGGTATGGGAGACAGAGGTGCATGTCTTAGGTAGGAGATGATACCCTCTTGTCATTCCAGAAGGTTTTAGGCTGAAGAAGAAGCTTCATGAGTGCCCCTTCTAGGTGGGAGTTGCCAAGGATAAGGATGAAGGGATGAATAGATGAGCACAGATAAATCACAATTTGCCATGGCCAAAACCAGGTATCCTCAAAGCCAGAAAGGACAACATCTGTGATCATAAACAAAAAAGAAAGAGCGTAAAATATTAGAAAGGAGACCAGACACTTCAGAGCTCTGGTGTGAGCCTGAGTACTGAGTTCCTGGGTACTGTGGGTACCATGTTGCATTCTCCAGGAGTGTCTCCTCAAAGAGGTAATCAGCAGAACTGTTGAGACTACAAAGATAGAACAGGGGATAGACAAAGTAATGAGTTTCAAAGGAAAAAAATAGTGGATTTCTAGATTCCTAAAGAAGCCATATAAGGTTATGTTCTCAGAGAACTTCCCCTGCAAGAATGCCTGGTACAAAGCATTATTCTCCACAAAATACAGCATGGTAACAATGAAAGAGATTAGCAGGGAGACTAGTAGGAACCAGGGTACCAGTTCCTTGACTGTCCACTTCAGCCAAAAGAAAATGGAGTGAGTGAAGTTTGCAATCTTCACACAGAAGAGGACACTAAGCCAAGTGGCAAACCAGAATGTGGCTGAATTCAGAAAATCCCAGTATATCCCAAAGTACTGGCAGGAAGGCTCTTTGGAATATGTTGGTGGTAGAAAAAAAAAATAAAAGTTGTGTATCATTCCAAGCCACAGCAGGCAGAAGCGGGAGGCACCCACACTGATCAGGATCATATCACAGGGAGACAGCCGGTGGCATAGAACCCACTCCTTTCCCAGTAACACAACAATGAAGCCATTAGCCATGATCCCTAGGGAGCACAACAGGACATAGAAGACCATGGAAAAGATCATAAATGGTCCCAATATTTCAGTCACTCCTACAATGACAGCTCTTGCTTAGGTCCCTACTGGCCTCTGATTCATGGAGCTTCTGATTTGCTTGATGAGATGTGCAGGGAGAATGATCTACCCTTTCTCTCCAAGACACAGTATAATTAGAGGACTCTGTGAGGTTGGGGGGAAGGGTCTATGCAGCTCTGTGTAGATGCAAATCTCCACCAGCCTCAGTTACCTCAGCTCTTTTCAACTGCATGTGATTTTCATTCCTTGCCTGGATCAGTGCAAATCATTTCTCTCAGCTCCTATCATGGAACCTAAGCATTTCTATTATATCAAGAGCTAGAAGGGTCTTCCGGGGCCATCTCATCCCCACATTTTGTGTGTGGTGCTCTGTCATTAAAGATAAGGGTAAAAGAAAGAAGAATTACCTTTTTGTGACTATATGTACAAAATGTTCTTTTTCAAAGATGAACACTCCTCCAGGAGTGGCCTTTACCTAATGGTGAAGAAACAGGGAAGAGAGCACAAATGGTAGACCTGTCAATAATCTCAGTTTTTAAAATGAACTAGGACTCCAAGTGGACCCAGAAAGAAAGGCATGGAAAGGGGGTGACCTGGAAAGGAGGGCAAGCTTCTAACAGGAAGACAGGGTCTGCCAGAGACCCTTACAGAGAATAACTTGGAGAAGCCAGGCATCCCTTCAGGAGGGCCCTGGAGGATTGAAGCCAAGAACAAAAACCAGCTAGTAATAATAACCAGCTAGTAAATTTACTTCAGGAAAACCAGAATAGTGATAAATGTGTAAAAGGTACTTCAAAAGTTCCAGGTGTCAGAGCCACCAAACTTCCAGGAGAATGAAGCAAGCAATAGCATATTAATTAAAGGTGGCCTGAAGCCCGGAGGAGGAATGACCAGAGAACAATTTATATGAAAAATGCAGGGTGGATGGGGTATTAGTGGAATGCAAACTCAATGTGAGTCAATAGATGATATAGCAGCCTAAAAAGCTAATGTGATCTTAAGGTACATTAAATAGAAATATGGTGTCCAGAATCAGGGAGGTTTATAGTTCCATTGTTCTCTGCCCTAATCGTGGCATGTTTAAGTATCATGTGCAGTTTTAAATGTGACATCTTAGGAAGAATGCTGAAAAGAGAAGGGCCATCAGGATGGTGAAGAGACAAAAAACCATTCCATTGAGGGTTAGCTTAAGGAACTGGGTTTCTTTAGCCTGGAAAAAAAAAAAAGAAAACAGAGGAAGAGGAGGGAGGAATAATAGCAGTTCTTGATAGCAAATACTTGAAGATGAATTTGTTTTGTTTTAGTTGTCCAAAAAGGGCAGAATTATGAGCAATGGACAGAAACTGAAAAAGGACAGATTTTGGTTTGATGTAAAGAAAAATTTCCTAATAATTAAAGGTACCTCAAAATGAAATGGACGACCTTAGAAGGTCATGAGTTCTCAACAACTGAAGGTCTTCAAAAACGGGCTGAAGATCACTTGGCGGGTATACTTTAGTGGAAGCTTCTGCATGGGTATAAATTGTACTAGGCAGTCACTGAGATCCCTTCAACTCCAATCATCTATGATTCTATAAACCTTTGGGATCAGAATGGGAAACACCTCTCAAGCTTGGGTGCCCACACTTGGAACTAAGACTGGGAAAATGAGGGCCAGAAAAAGTAAGAAACCTCAAAGCCTGTCTTGCATAATGACTAGCTAGGTGTTGCTCTGCTCCTCTGAGGCCACAGGGACTGCTGGCTTGTGCCAATCTCTGTCCTTAAGAGGCAACTGGTAGCACAATGGAGTAATGTATCTGCAGTCAGATACATTAAACCTGAGTTTAAATCTAGCCTAAGACACTTACTAGTTTTATGACCCTGGGCAAATCACTTAACCTCTGCCTCCGTTTTCTCAACTGTAAAAATGAGAACGATAATAGCACCTACTTTGTAGAGTTGTTGTGAGGATGAAATGAGATTATATTTCTAAAGTGTTCAGCATAGCTCCTGGCATATAGTAGGTGCTACATAAATGCTTATTCTTTCTTTTCCTCCCCTTTACTAATGACATGGTTTGCCCAGGGTTTAGCTCTAGAGAAACCCTGAATTCTCAATAGGAAAAGTAGGTTCCCCATTTCTCAGTTTCATTTGGTTCATCATACCCACAAGTCTATTTTTGGTTCTAGTCTAGAATTTCCCAAAAAGGGGGGAGATAAAAGAGGCACCCAAAGCATCATGTGAACTGCGTATAAGACAGGACATTTTATTCCCACACAGAAGGCAAAGATAAAGAGAGTCACAGTGTTCACTGACAGAATGTTTTAAGCAGGATTCAGAAATTCAGTTTTTAAGTACAATATACTGGGAGTCTGGTAGTAAGCCTCATCAAGACTAAACACAGTCTGACAATTCTACTAATGAGATTTTCACATTTTACTTCTACTGAGTACGGTCCAATCAAATGCCAAGTGTGACGCAAGAATGTTCTTTTGTAGTGGCTCCTCTCTCTCTGACACTGGTTCTGCCCTTTGCATGAGATCACTCCAGCTATTGTCATTATGACCACAATCAATAACTACAATCATCTGCTACAGTGGATACTGAACTCACAGACTCACCGGTCTCTCAAGACCTCAGGATCTCAGGACCTTCTAAAACTCACTAGGTTGCCTGGACTTATTCATCTCAAGGTTACTCCTTAGTACTGGGGAAAGGAAGAAGAAGAAAACTGAGGCAGCCTCATCCCAAGTACAAATTTATTACCTAGAACATGTGGGGATGAATATATGGGGCCAAGAGGGGAAGAAGGCTTCCAACATTACCCCCACCACAACCCTACTCTTCTGGACACAGCTCCAAAAAGTCTTCCCTTCAGACTTGGAAAGAAAGAATAACATTGGGGTGCAAGATCATCCTTTTAGCATATCTACAAAGTTCTAGCTCCTCAACCAACCCAAATCAGTGATGAGTCATACATAGCCAAAAACAGACAGAGGATGCTCAAGTTTCCATAAGGTCACCAGGAAGAAAAAGGAAGAACACCTACTACTCATGAGTGAAACTTGTCTAGAAAACAAAGAGGTAGGCTCAACTGACTCCAGAAACAAATTTTTAACAAAGGAGCTCATTCTGCATACAGAAAGCATGGGGGGAGGGAGAAGTAGTTAGAGCAGAGAGCTAAGCAATATGAAAGCCTATCTTTCTCTAAATTTATATGGAAAACAAACACTAAGTTATATATAATTTGTAATATTTGCATTTTACTAGTGTAATGAAATGACTGGTTGATGTGGTTCCGGTCCTTAAGTCCTTAGAGCACATGCAAAATACTCTGCCTCCTAACAACCCATGTGGAAGCCTTGGTGAGGCTGCTTCTGGAAATGGGTGATAGAGGAGCCCTTTACTTTCCCATAAACACTTCAGGGCCTTTATGGACTTGTTGCCTGATAACAAAAAAAGCTTCTGATTAGGTGGCAAGACAGAACTCTATGTGCATACAAAAGGATTGAGTGGAGAAAATTTCTTTCTCTTCCCTAGCAACTTTCACCTGTGGAAGAAGAAATTCATGGGCCTTTGTGTGGTGGGGAAGAGAGGTAGCCCTGACTATTGTCCCTACAAGGCTTGTCTCTCCATCTGGTCACCGTGTGGCTATGAATACATCATGCCTCTGTTTCTTTTGTCTCTTTGTATTTCTTCTTTCCTGATCTTTAGTGAATTGACCTTGTGAGCTTCAAAAGCTATGTACTTATTATACCTTTTTCTTTAAAGCAGGCTGTCCTGAAAGGATGATAGAGACATTTTTCTTGCTTTCACTAGAGGCCTCAATAGTTCCAGACCTTTAGAAACTGCCCTTGGATCACTGTGTGAAGAAAAAGATTCTTTCAATCATGGCCCCAAGGGAAGCCCCAAAGAGTCATCAACTACAGACATCTGGATCTCACTGGCAGAAAGAGACTTAGAATAAGATAGAAGGGGAGCAGAAATTGTTGAAAAGCACACTTACCCTCAGTGCACATCTTTCTCCCTTGGCACAGGCCCCAGTTTCTAAAGGAGTTGGCTCTTCCTTTTCCTTTCACATGGCTTTTCAATCTGAGTTCTTTTAAAAATGTATGGCAGGGTATTTTTTCCTATGAGTGTATTTCAACATGAGGCTTCCATAATGGATGTTTCATTTTCTGCATTTAAAAACATTATTCTGATACAGGGAATATAGACTTAACTGGACAGCCAATGGGGTCTGTAAACCAAAAGAGGTCAAGAACCTCTGATTTAGCAGTTAATTTTAACTCTTTCCTGAAGGAAGATTGTAAGAAACAGCCTTGGGTAATCACGTTTTAGATCAGCTGCCATGAATGGGTCATAGGAATATACAGCCAGAAAGGAGTTCAGAAACCATCTCTTTTTAACCTTCTTCGGGTCCGGTCCCTTTTGGAGTCTGGTGAAGTTTATAGACCTCTTCTCAGAATAATGTTTTAAATGAATAAAATAAAATATGTAGAATTACAAAGGAAACTACTTATATTGAAATTGTCACCCCAAAAATACATGTTTTCAAGTTCATAGATCCCAAGTTAAGAATCCCTGATTCAGTCAAACACAGACACCTTAAAGACAAACTGAGGCCTGGAAAAGTTAAGTGATTCATCCAAGGTCACATAGGTAATACACATTTGGGGAAGGATTTGAACTCCAGTCATCTGACTCTAGAACCAATGTTCTTTCCATTGCCTCTCCCTTTCATAGAATAAAAAAAAGCAGGTGGAGAAAGAAAGGGAAGATCCTCTAAACTTCAAGAATCACTTGGGATGTGCTGACAGAAGCAAGAAACATAGTACCTAAATTCTGGGAAAAGGAGAGAAATGTTTCTTATTAAAATGGAATTGCATTCCCAGAATATACACCCATTGACAGTGGGAAGAGGGAAGTACATGGACTGGCAGGTAGAAAGCAGACTGAATTGTACTAAAAAGAAGCAGGGATTGTGAAATGAGCTTCATGTAAGCCTGCCTACCCTGGAGAGGAGGCCTTTCATTATGTGCTGTTAATACTTTCTAATACTTGCCAAGTAGCAGTGTTGCCATTCCAAGGACAGGCAGCCATCCCTCTGGGTTTATGTCACCTGGATTCTTGCACAATCCCCCATTCTGGGGATTGAGGTCTATAGATATTGAGGATTTTTTTTTGGCTAGGCAATGGGGTTAGGTGACTTGCCCAGGGTCACACAGCTAAGTAAGTGTTATGTGTCTGGGGCCAGATTTGAACTCAGGTCCTCCTGAATCCAGGGCCAGCACTCTATCCACTGTGCCACCTAGCTGCCCCTGAGGTCCATAGATATTGAGATGGGATTTCATCCTGCTCTTTATCTACAGTGAGAAAAAAAAAGGGACATTTCCTAGTTTGTTAACAAGGCCTACATTCTTCCTCACTGTGCTAACCACTAAGGCACTATAGTCTCACACAAAAACAATGTTTTCATCCAACCTATCCAGAGTAACTCTCCATTCACCTAGCTCTGAAGGTTACTTTGTTCTAGAGGATAGTTATCTCATTATCTCTGTGTCTTCCTAAAGAATGGAGGGCAGAATTAGGGCCTCTTCACCTATAAGAGAGAGACCTCTGTTGTCTTAAGTGGGACCTCACACTAGCCAGGATTCTGAGTCAAGACCTGGGTTAGAATAAGGAGAAAGAAAGAAACAGGGCATTCCAGGCAGGCAGACAGATGTTCCTGAAAAATTCAGCTAATTCAATTATCAACAAAATAATAGACATAGTTGTCCAAGCAAGAGGCATCTTGCTTAGAAACAAGAAACATTAGTCCCAACACCACTTATGGGGCCTCTAGAAAACTAGGATAACTATTATTCAATGGTAAATCCAATCAAACACCTGAGATTTTACTATGGCTTCCATACCTCTTTTGGGTCTACTTTACTGAGGAGTAAGGCTAGGTTGTTAAGTGTTTGACATAGCTATCTCCAGATTCCTGTAAGTAACCAGTTAAACCCTGAAAGAATTTATGGAAGCAAATTCTAGGGCCATAGTTGAAGGCAAGGAAAATTTTTAACTAAATAAACAAATAAAAAAGCAGGGCATCTACAGAAGTGGAGGAGTGGATAGATTCAGAGTATAAACAGAAGAACATTCCAACTCATTCTAACTTTGTTAAAAATTAGTCAAATGCAATGTAAATCAAAGGGATGCAAAGGGAACAACTGTAATTGAGCCTGTGGGAGATTTGCATCCATTTCTTTCAAGATGAATTGTCCTTGGATTGCAATCATGTATCTCCCTGTCCAGTTCTACTACAGTTCTGAATCACCAAAGAAGAATCCAGAAAGAGAGCCTAGAACAGGAAAGGGTCCTCTAGAAATGTGTGTATATCAACATCCATACTCTGTTACTGATCGGTGGTTGTTCTCCTTCATTCTTGAAGAGCACCAAAATGACATCACTCTGTTGGCCTTCTAGGTCCTTGAGTGCGGCCTTTTGACTGAGTCCAAGTTTTACAGAACTGCACATCTATTATGTACAACTTTCTATTCCATTTAAATATATAATAAAGTTATCATGTAACTTTTTCTTTTTTTCCCTCCCCCCCATAGCTGCCATTAGATACAAATATGTATATATACATATACTGGCATATATATGGAAAAACCATTCTATACATACTTCTGTTTATCACATCTTTTTCTGAATGCAAATAGCATTTTCCTTCCTATGTAGGAATTTGTAGTTAATTTGGGTATTTATAATAGTCAAAATGACTAAGTCACTCAAAGTTGTTCTTAAAACAATATTGTTGTTACTGTACACAACATTCTCTTGGCTTTGCTCATTATATCATGCAAGTCTATCCATATTTTTTCGAAGATTATCAAGCTCATCATTTCTTAAAGCATGGAAGAATTCCATCACAATCATGTACTACAACTTGTTCAGCCATTCCCAACTGATGGGCATTCTCACAATTTCCAGTTCTTTGCTACCACAAAGAAAGCTGCTTTAAATATTTTAGGACCTATGGGTTCTTTTTCTTTTTCCCTAATCATCTTGGGAAATGTAACAAGCAGTGGTAGTGCTGAGTCAAAGGGCATAGACAGTTTAATAACATTCTGGGCTTAACTCCAGATTGCTCTCCAAAACGGTTGGATCAGTTCACAGTTCCACCAGCAGTGAATGTGTCACAATTTTTTCACATCCCTTCCAACATTTGTCACATTTTCTCATGTTACAGGCTACTGGTGGCGTTCCAGTTCAAGGCAGTAAATGTGCAGAACACCGGTTATCTGTTGTAGGGGTCCTCCATGGAATTGCCAGCAGAATTACCAGAATAGTGAGAGTGGGGAAAAGAATGAGTGATCATGGAGTGCTCCAGAAGACCAGCCCCGACAATGACGTTGTCCCTACCCCAGACAGCAGTTCCCATCTTACTACATGTGGAGACCCTATGGGCGTCGACCACAGTATTCCAACCCTCCTGTGCAGAGAGAAGTCATGGAGGGTGCTGACAACCAGGGTGGATAAGAACAAGGTAGACCAGTGAGAGAGAATGTGTATCGGGGTTGTAGACCACAATTCCACAGGGGACCTTCTCGTCAAAGACAACCTAGAGAGGAAGATGACAAAGAGAACCAAGGCAATGAAACCCAGGGTCAGCAGCCACCTCAGCGTTGGTACTGACGCAGACAACCAGAGAACCCAAAACCACAAGATGGCAAAGAGACATAAGCTGCCAGCTCTTGAGGCTGAGCAACGAGGGGCTGAGTAAATACCGGCGTACCATCTCCACCATCATCCAGTTTAGTCATCATACAAGAAGAAAATATGAAATTCCAGAAATAATAAGAAATGAATAAGAGATTTGGAACAGAAGACCTACGTGCTTGCTTTTTGCTGTTGACCAGATTTCTAAAACTCTCTGCATTATCTATGCAGAATGGGGTTTTTATTATTTTTACCTAAAGAAGTCTCTTTTGGGGAATGACAATTTTTTTAAAGCCTGGTTTTCTCAATACGCCTTTAAAGGTTTTTTAATTGTTTCGTATCTGGTCAAGTTGAGATCTTTAAGAACTTCATTTTTAATTTGTATAAAAGTACACCTGATTTTTTTTAAAAAATCCACGAACTGCAAGCACCTGTTAATAAAGGTTTTTTTAAAAAAAAATTAAGAAGGTTGGGGAGAGGATAAGAGAGGGAATCAGAGGTGGGCAGATTGAGGCATAAGAAGGTAATGGGAGGAATTCTTAGAAAGGGTGAAGATTAGGGTATAATGGTTAGAAGTAAATTAAAAGTGTGAGAAGTGACAGTGTAAAAAGAAAAGCTGAGAAAGATAATAGTGAGGAAAAATAGGTGGAGGGAAATACACAAATAGTAATTATAACTTCGAATGTGAATGGGATGAAATCACCCATAAAACAGAAATGGATAGCAGAATGGATTAAAAATCAGAATCCAACAATATGTTGTTTACAAGAAATACATTTAAAATAAGAGATACACACAGAGTTAAAATAAAGGGCTAGAAGAGAATTTATTATGCTTCAGCTGACACAAAAAAAAGCAGGGGTAATAATTATGATCTCAGACAAAATTAAAGCTAAAACAAACTTAATGAAAAAAGATAGACAGGGAAACTACATTATGGTAAATGGTACCATAGACAATGAAGCAATATCAGTACTATACCTATATATATACTATAGCATGTAAATTTTTAAAGGACAAGTTAAATGAATTACAAGTGAAAAAAATTTTATAGTTAAACACAGAAAAGCAGAAATATTTAATGCATATAATAAGGGACCATGGAAACAGAATAAAAATTTATTGGATTCGTTCATTCAAATGATATTAATTCATTAACTGAAGACTAAACAGCCTAATATTAAAGAATGAGTGGGTTAAAGAACAAATCTTAGAAAGAATAATTTCATTAAAAAGAATGATGAGACAACATATCAAAGCCTATGAGGCATAGCAAAAACAGTAATCAGAGGAAAATTTATATCTCTAA